AGGTTTCCCTGGATGCGCCTTCTGATCTGAAGACAGGTGAATGAAATGTTCACCTCTCTCCCACCCCAGGTCCGATCTGAGACAGGGAAAATACTGTAAATTTGTTTTCTTTTTGAAAAGCAGATAAGAGTTTCACAAGGAAGAAGGAAAAGGGAGATTGGAGGCCACTGTTTTTAATGAGAAGCAGACCAAGGTCTCAAAACTTTCGTAAGGTTTAAGGGCTCCTGTTTCCTCAATTTCTCAAGATATGCTCAGTAATTATTTGTTGACTGAGTTAATTAATGAAGAGATGCTTCCTGCTCACTGTACAATTACAGAAAAACACAGAAGGAGAATGTATGGAAAGAATCAGGGAAAACAAACAAAAAGCAATGACAAGGTCTGTACAGGTCCCTTAGTTCAAAGCTGTGTTCTCTGAAGAAGGCACTGAGACCACCTCCATTTGCCCGGGACCCCTACCTACTGAGCAGTGGCAGAGTTGGACTGCAGTGCCCTCTGTGCCCTTCCTTGGTGTAGGAAACAATTTTTAAAAGGCATGAGGCAAGCTGTACAGTCATCCAGGATAGAAAACATCCACTGTCCAGAGGGAAGAGGACATGAGGGGCCCAACACCCCACACAAGGAAGCAGAGCCAGGACAAGGAGCCTCTCTGGCCAGGAGCCTTGTCCATGCCCTTTACAGCTGCCTCCTCACAGGCAGCAGCCCAGCGGAGGTCCTGGCCTGAGTCTTCTGCTGGACGTAAAGCCTGGCTGATTAGTTTCTTCTGCTTTTCCCTCTATGCTTGTTTAGTTGCTATCAAAGTCCGGATGAAGGCGGGTACATCCGCTGGGGATCGGCGTCTTGCCCATTCCTCTGTGTTCCTTCCACCTTCTTACTTGCACCTTGCCCTGAGGTAGTCTTTGCTGTTACTCCTTACAGTCTTCGGGATGGAATTATTGTTTATGTTACACCAGTGAGGATATTTAAAATTATACACGCATGCACACTTAACATACATTTATAACTCTGTGTATGTTTCTATGTGATTATTTATGTCTCCCTGGGTAAAACCCCTACAGGGACACTGATTAGCAGAATGTGTGATGGAGAGACACCATTCCAAAGATCAGTGGCCCCAGGGCCGGGGATTTAGCTCAGTGGTTTCACCGCCTGCTGTGCAAGAGCAAGGACCCGAGTTCGATCCCTGGTACCAAAAAAAAAAAAAGAAAGAAAGAAAGACAAAGATTGGTGGCTGGTGGCCTCCCTCGGACTCCTCTGGGCTCTAAGAGCAGCTTCTATCTACCTTTGTGGGACTCTGAAAACAGCCAGCATGTGCACAAAAAGGACAGAGTGAAGAGGTAGCGATGTGGAATTTGATACCTCCTTAAATGAACCAACACCACGTGATGTAAAGTCCTGTTCAGTTTTCTGTACTGTTTAATTTTGTCTCAGATGAAGAAATTACTGTTACACCCATACTTGAGGACCGGCCAAACTGTGTGACTTCACATAGCCTTCAGAGCAGTATTGGGTTACATAACTTCTTAGTCTGTTTGCTCCCAGCTCCCTGGGGTTTGGGGCTTTCTATATGATTCGGCATGGAGAATCGGGCCTGGCAGAGGGTTTCCATCTCTAGAGTGGGCCGAACCTTGGCAATGTCACCTGAGTCACACGTCTGTGTGCCTGCAGTTGGGTTGGCACTGGCCGGAGAGAAACCCCTGCACTGAGGGGAAACCTGAGACGTTCTACTGGGCCATTTTCTTTACCACCATTTTTTTCTTTTCTGTTTAATTATGCCTGTCTTCTTAGGCTGAATGATTTTCATAGTTCTGATCACACAGCACAAAGTACATTCTGTTCCTTTTACTAGGTCTCTACAGGAACACGCTCCACTCTTCTCCAAACAGCCATTGCTTGATGAAATAAAGAAAGCAGCTATAAAGTATTTCAGGGAACTACAGACTCAATCAGGAAGGGGAAAAAAACCCTGAAGCAATCATTTCATTTAAAAAAGGATAATTAAAAGCGTTCCTTGGCAATTCCAGGTATGTGGACACCATGACCTAGTATGTGTACCAATGATTTCTCCAGTCTCGTAGGATCTAGTTATTACACACAAAAGTTGTTTTAAAATGTTTTCTCAATTGCCTCTGACCTGAAGTGTTAGTAAAATCAGGGTCTTGTTTCTCTTTGTTCAGTACATAGAAGCTTTTGCAGAGACAAGGGAAGGGCCGGAGAACAGAGCAACCAGCTCAGTAGATGAGAGAGGGTCTAGTTTTTGCTAAAATTGCAAGGTCCCAATATTTGATAGAAATGAGATTTTAGTTAGCCAGAGCCCAGAAACATTTGTTGGAGGCTTTTAAACTTTACACGTCCTGACTTCATTTTCATGGGCCCTTTCTGAGACTCAAAATCTAATTTTGTGTTTTTTTATTATTTTAAATACCTCCACCCCCGTATTTGTTTTAGGAATAAACATCTTGGACCCACCTCTCCAGGCAAATTAGCAAGAGGAGCACAGCACAGCGTATTTCTAGAGAGAAAGTCAGTGTCATCTTAAGATAGTGACTCAGTGAGATTTCTCTGTGCTGGAAACATAGGATACAGTAGCCCAGCTTGCTTAAGACAGGGCCTCACTGTCCCACTGAGCAGCCTTGCTTGCAGGAAACCACCCATTTCGTTAGGAGTTTTGTCAAGGAGGCTCACATCATCTTCCTGTTCTCTTGGGCACCTTCATCCCTCTGCACCACCTGTGAGATTCAACCCTACTGAACTGCTAAGATGCAACCAACGTTGACTGACAAAAACAGCATTTTTGTGGGGTATGACCTCATACTGTTCAATCATATGTTAAATTTTTTTTTTTTTTAAAAAAGACTGGCAATAGAGCTTATGAGAATAGCTTAGCCTTTATTTCTAAACAGAGCTGCTTTTCAATTCCACTCCAGAGGTAACAGAAGCAGAAATCAAAGCACAAAAGTGAGCCATATTATTTATTTATTTATTTAGAAGAAACAAGCTGTATTATGCCCATGTCCCTACTCCCCAAGATGATTTTAAAATGTACGTACTGCAAACCTGTACTAATAAAAGATTTTAAAGTGAGCCATGTGTATAATTTAAAATCTCTATCAACCATATAAAATGTGAAATTCACTTTAATAATATATTTCATTTAATCCCATTATATATAATACTACATCAAAAATAGTATTATGTAGATGTATAATCAAAATGCAGTAACTTATTAATTAGGCATCCTGCAATCAATAGTTTTTTGTATTATGCACCTAGTACATCTGAGTTCAGATCAATCATACCTTAAACGCCCTGGAGCCACATGCAGCTAGTGTGTTAGACAATGGAGTTCTAGACCCTCTACTTACCATGTGTGGGCATGGGCAAGTAATTTAACCATTCTGAGCCTCCGCATATCCATGTAAAATGGAGTCACATAGAAAAATCTACACCACAGGCTCAATGTGAGACTAAATCAGACAGCAGAGAACAGTGACATTTTGTTTCTTTTGAGTTTTTGCTGGTGGACTTAAGCAAAGCTTAAAATGAACATTCCTCTTCTGTTTTAAGCAATTTTATGTCCCTTTCTGTAACCAAAAGGTTAACGTGCAGTTATGGAATATTCAGAAGACTTACTGATGGCTTGATCAGTGTATAAGATAGGGTCTGGAGATTTTACACATTTAATATTAAGATAAAGAAGAGTAGACTGAGGTTGCAGACTGGAAACAAAAAGCTCACTGCAGCAGGATTGCCAGAAAACCAAACCTAGAGCAGGCTTGGCAATACTGTGGAGACTACCACTGACTGATCATGGAATACAGGCCAGACACAAGGTAAGTGCTTTTCGTACTGTGTGTTCACTCACTGAATGACAAGAGACAAAGCCAGTATTCCCGTCCTCACTTAAAGAAAGGGTAAAGATGGGGTTCAGCTTGGTGGTATACGTGTGCTTAGCATGCAAGAGGCTCTGGATTCAATCCCAGCGCTAGTAACAGCAACAACAACAAAAAACATAAAGAAATGGGGTGGCTGAAAACTTTCCCAAAGTTGAAAATTTCCCAAAGCTGTTAGGGGCCCTTTCTTCTCTGCTTCCATTTTCATGTACCAGCCGAGCCCCTGTGAGCTGGGAGAGTGGGCCCAGTGCTATCTGCTCTGGGTGGAATGGGAACTCGGTTCGGGGAGGCGTTCTCTCTCTCTCTCTCTCTCTCTCTGAGGTGTGCACAGAAGATCAAAGACAAACAAGACTGCAGACAAGGAAAGTATTTTCTATTCCACTTTGACAACCAAATTGATGGTTTGTGCCTACGTGACGTTCAGACAACACATCAGACACAAACTAGTTGTTTCGTGAGACACAAGCCAAAAAACCAGATTGAGTTACAACTACTTTGCTTTTTATTAGGTTCTAGTTATGAAGATACTGGCAGCTCACTTGAGAGGTCTTTTAGGTAACAGCCAAGGCAGTTTGAGGGAATGGTGTGCGTGCGTGTGTGTGCGTGTGTGCACGTGCATTGGTGTGCACATGTGAGCAGTGGTGTTGGAAAAACCCAGAGTAGCTGCTCCCAAGCAAGCAATTCCAAAGAGCTGTTGTTATATCTGGCTGGCTCCGCCACTCTTGAAGTTTTGGGGTTACAGGGGATACCGTCTAGACCAGTCTTTTGGCTCTGGGGTTGGCAGAACATAGAACCAGAAAGCCAAATCACAGTGCAAATATCTCGCTGCATTTTTCCTGGTAAACGGTCAAGCTGGATGGAAACTAAATCTCAAACGATGACCAAATAGCAATAAGCAAGAGAATGAAGGCTGCCCAGGGCTTTCTTCAGTGCTTGCTAGATATGTTCTGGTTCTTGAGCCACTGTGAGACACTACTGCAGGCGGGGTCCTTACAAAAAGAGAGCGAAGGGACTGTGCTCCCCACCTTCCAGCTGGGGAACATTCTCACTGTGTCCGTGCAATCTTCTAGACTCAAAGGTGGCCCTAGGGTAGGACACACACGGAAATACAGAATTGAAATAATTTATTTACCACTAGAGCACCACAAAAACAGACATACATTGTGTTAAAATACAGCATAATTGGTCGTCAAAGTACAAAACAGCTATTCTTATATTCCAATTTTTTAACCATGCCAACCACAAAATTGTACTGCTGCTTAACACATATACACTGCTGCCCGCCGGCCTACTAACACTTCTCGCTTCCAACCTCCGCCCTCCCCTCCCATGGCAACATTTATTTACGGGAAATAAAGACCTTGTAGAATCCCCCAATTGAAAACAAAAAGATTCAGGAGATCTTAAAATAGAGCATTTAAAATATTATCAGTGCATTCATAAGGAAAGACAAACTCATACAAAACAAAATGTCATTTTATCTCAGAGGAAAATACCTGCAGAAATAAAAGTGATTTACACAGAATTAACAGGAAAGTGGAGGAGGAAAAGCCCAACACAGTCTGGGATTGGGTTACACCTGATGTGAGAGCTGCTCAGTGTTGTGGCACCCTCTCTAGTTTGCTTTTCCAGTTTTCAAATTTGCGAATCCAATTCTTCATCTTAATGATGGTCAGGAAATTCCAACAGGAAAGTATACCATTCCTGTCTTACTCCACTGCCCTTAGGTGCAACTTCATGATTTGCCTATGAATTTTTATCTGAAAACTAAATAAGTGACATGTACCCTGCAAACCCAGGCATGAGGTACCTCCTCCAAAATGATGTGACAAGTCATTTCTGTAAGCCAAGTAAAACCTCTAGCCCCAGTTCTAGATAACTTGCACTCAGAGGAAAGAGAATATGTTGATCATGGGAGAATTTGGCTTGTGTCTTTTCAACCTTTCAAGAAGATCTACCAAAAGCCTTAACTTAGTGAAATAAGTGACATGAGTAACCGTGACCTGGATGTTTTCACCCTTTCAAAAGTACCTAAAATGTGCACCCTTCCATTTCCCCTTAACAGGAAAAGGTATTTCCTGAACTGCTTGCCTTTTAATGACAGTAAAATTCTGCAAAAAATACTAACTGGACCACATTAACTCAGCCACCAGGATTCTGAGTTCAGATCCTCAGATTCTGTGAAAATCAGAACATTTCCCCCGATTATCTATGTTTCCATAGCATTTCCCATTTTCCTAACATAGATGTTTTTTAACATGACTTGATTAGTAATGATGATCAAAAGATGAAGAAAGACCACTAAATTCCATCTATTCTTTTTGTAAAAGAAAAAAAAAAGACAAACAGACACAGATAGCTTATGTCATAGAAATGGACAATACACAAAGCACAGGAGAGCAAATCTTATTAAAAAATATCTTTGTAGTACAAGGCAAAATCTAGGGGCTTTAGTGAAAATACTGGCCAGCTAAAGGAAACATACAATTAATTGTGAGTGATAATTAAAGAGTTCAAATTTAAGTCCAATCTAAATCATAATTGACATTATTACAGAATATAAAAAATATGGTAAGAATTTACACATTACATGTGAAGTAGTTAATGTTTTGATTTAATAGTTTGCAAAGGAGATCTGCAGGTGTGTTTTCAATTATGCTGGCTTCTAAACCCATCTATTTTAATAATACAGGTAGGGTTACATACCCCAAAACAAAGGGAAAATCTGTAGCATAGCTATACAGCAACACTTGAAGGTCTTAAGTTTGACCAGTACGTGTCAAAACATTTCAACATTCCACTAGTTTACTAAACTGACAAAGAACCATATACAATTAAAAGGAAAAAAAAATCTTACAGATTTATTCTGGCTGAGAATTTTTCTTATTAACAGGCTTTTTAGTGTTTGAACCCTACGTACATCTTCCTTAAGCAGTCGATACATAGCATGTGCTTTCCGGTCTTTGTCTTAAGGCAGACTTGCTCGGTCATACAATAACTCACGGGGCTTTTCACCCCTTTAATGACCTCTTTTTCTGGCTCGTTTGAGTTCAAGTTTCCTTAAGCCATCCATGAGTTTCTGGCAAAGGATTTGGTCTCCACTTTACACACTTGTTTTATTTTCCCAGGGCAGTGAAACGTTCATTATATAGTAACACACAATAAATAACTCGCTGCTAAATCTCGGAGGAGGATGGGCCGGTGTCTACTGCATGGCAATCGTGAGTGTAGCACACGGAAGGGGACACAACGACAGCAACTCCGCTGACCGGGATTCTCCTGGTTTTCATTTTTTTTCTTTCACATAATTAATGCTAACAAATTCTTCCAGTGTTTATTTTTTGCTTTAAAAGAAAAAGATTTTGCTTCTTGTCTCTCTCACTTAAAAAGTAGGTGAAATGTAGAATACGGCCTTCTATTTTACTTTTTTGTTTCAGATGCCAGTTTTAACAAACAGAACACACACTTCCAAAGTCTTGGGACTAGTACCGCTTTGCTCATAATCCTGAACACAGAGGAACCAAGGTTCGCTTATGTTTTCTTGTCGAGCACATCAGCGTGATTGTTGTTTTCGATGTTCCTCTTGCCACCTTTCCAGGAACCTTAGCTGCATTTGCAGGACTTGACGATCATGTTGGAGAGCTGCTCGATCTTGGGGGTCTTGCCGATGTAGTAGAGGATGGTGAGCGGCTCCAGGTCCTGCGACACACAGCACGGAGATGCAGAGGCCTCTGGGTTTATGGTGTTGTACAAGCTGAGGACCTGGACAAGGCAGAGGACAGGCAGCGTTGGGAAGGAGGGCAAAAAACAAAGGAGCAATTAGTTTGAAAAGGACCACTTCCTGCTGGCACCAGTCACAGCACTCAGGAGGCACTGTGAACTATTTTGCATGGGCTATTATTTTTTTCTTAACTCTAAGTGATAATCAGGTTGGTATGTGTCCTCAGCCATCACCAGATTCACAATTTCCCCACAGAATGCTTTTCCTATACATCGTAAACAAATGACTTTATAGAGTTCACATTGGAAAAAGCAGCTCATTCTGTAGATTTTCCTAACCTTTCCCAGAAGTTGACTCTGGCCACTCCTTTGAGGCACACATTTCCCAGGCTTCTTAGGGTTTGGTCACTACCCTGTAACTGAAGTTGCTTCCTGTATATATGTGTTTAAATTCCTAAGTGGATTAAGAGCTAACTCAGTCAGGGACTCTGTAGGCTCTGTTTGCACCTTGCAGCCCTAGTAAGTCTTCTCTGGACCGAACAGGACACGTGTGCTTGAGGAAGAAATGAAGGCATGGATGGCTAGAAGAACCAGGACCGCAGGGTCTCACTGGAACTCTGACCTACTCGTGGGCAGAGAGGAGGTTACTCACCCTGTCTGCCCCTGAACCTCCTTACGTTAAGTGTCTTCTCAGGCCTATTTAATGTTACCTACATTTTCATTCACTATTGCTTCATAATAGCAGTGATGCTCAGGCTGACACGGAAAGCAATCTACACCCTTAATTAGTCTCTTTCTTTTGCTTACAGGGAAGATAGTAGCCATCAACACTCCCCGAACCTTCCCTGTGGTAGCAGGCCAGGCCAGGCCAGGAGGAGGAGTGGAGAAGCAGTGGCAGGACAGCATGCAGGGAGCCCAGCCCTGCATTTGAACTCGCACCACGGGGGAGCGAGACTTTCAGAAGCATGGAGGCTCCCTGAGATGACGCGCAGACATTTCCACGGGTGCCATTAACGTGTTACTCAAATAGCAAGTGACCTTTTCCTCGAGACCCACTGCGGCTTTTTCAGCCTAAGACAGAAGATCCGTTCAATGCAGCAATGCTGACTACTTTACTGGCTCCCCTGCTTCGTGGGTAACTGTCCAAACCACACTTCTGTGACCATGTCAGTTATTCTTCCTCCCTCCTTGAAGAACAAGCCCAGTCTCAGCCTTCACCCTCGTTCTGTGAATCGGGAGGAGAATTAGGTTTCTCCTTGGCAGCTGGGCCCTGCTCACATTGCAGCTACTGCTGCCGAAGCCCAGATGGGGCAGCCTGGCCAGAGAGCTAGGGCAAAGGGACAGGCTCGGGAGTGTCCCTCATGTGGCCATGCACGTGACACCCGGAGGGCCGCAGCCTTGGGGAGGCCGGAAACGGCCGGAGGAGGGGAGCCTCCGGAGGAGTCAATCCTCACTGCGGCCTATGGGGGCATGTATAAACAAACAGGCTTCAGGTTCCACTCGCACATGATTTTTCATAGGCACTGCAGAGGCGTTTTTGTAACATAGATTGTCCAGGATAATGGATAACCTCCCAACTCCTGCATTCAACCGAAAGCCTTCTGCAGGCTTTTTGGCAGCATACTCCTTTTCCTACCCTGCCATGAAGGCAATTTTCCTAATGCCTCTTTAATAGGGAGATTTACAGAGGCACCAGGAGCAGAGGAGAAAGCTTCCCCACCTAGCCACGTGTTAGGGATTGAAGTCTGTGGGATGGAGCAAGGGGGCCTCTTAGGAAACAGGGAGGGCTGCGTTCCAAGCCCCAGCTGCCCCTAGGTGTCAGGAGGAAACAACTGTGCAAATATCCTTATTGGACGAAGGCCTTGCTGAAGTGTCCTGGAAACCCATGGCATCCAATCCTGGCCCTTCCTTCCTGGTCAGCCCTTGGTCCTCAGTGAAGTGACTGGATAAAATACTCATGTTCTTCATTACTTTGGGTTGCACTCAGAAAGGCTTAGAGATACTCATTTTCAAATCATTTTCACATACTTCTTATTTCCCTATCTCGCAACAAGTTTGAGTTCAGCATTGTTTTAAAGAACACTTGTAATATAGACACTCTTTTCTATTGATAAGAAACTGAGGTCCAGAGCTGTTAAAGGATGTCCTAATTGTCGTGCGCTAGTAAATCACCATGCTAAAGCACTCTCTAGTTTCCCCACTGTTCTCTCTAACCCACAGTGCTTAGTGGAGGTGAGAATGGATTCCTTTCTTTGGCTGGCGACCTGGGTCCCTTTACATGTTCTTTATATATGACACTGCGTAATGTATTGATTCAGAAAGAGCTACCTTTTCCAGCTGCCTATTTATGCTTATTCTTGTTAAGAATAGAAAACAAAGAACAAATGAGTAAAGCTTCCTTCAAGTTGCTTGTACCCTAATTGGGAAGGTGGGCCTAGTGTTTGAAACACATCAGGGTTCTTGTTGATTTCACCCACTGCCGATGTTCTCCCGCGGTCCAAACGACCCTGTCCGCATGCTCGCCTGGAAGATGGCGAAGGCTCCGGGTCTTACCACTCACTTAGAAACTCCTCAGCGGACACACTCCTCACCCAGAACACAGGAGCGAGTCACCAGTACTCACCCTGCTGTGCTGAGTGTCGGAGCTCCACAGATACGGGCAGGCCCCAGCACAGAAGTTGGCATTGTAGCCTTTGGGTTCATGAATCCATTTCCACCCAAGATCCCTCTTGAAATCAATGTAAAGTGGACGCAGGCAGCAATTGTCCTGCACATTTCTGTGGAAAGGAAGAGCAAGGCAGATTTTAAAGTGGATTTCCCACCCACCTCACTCCAAACCAGAGAAATGACTCATTCGTTTGTTCAACAAACTAATGAGCAGTGAGCATGGGCTACATTTCTCTGCAATCTCAGGTGACTTGCATGAGGGGATGTGCTAGCATTCACTCCCCCTTAGGAGTTGTACACCCCAACTCCCTGCCTGTGGCCTAGAAAGCAAACCTTTGCCCTCAAGTGACAAGACAGAAGCAGGGTGTGGTTGGGAGAGACAGTAGCCAACTGGTCAACCAACCATTGAACCAATCGAACAAGCAATGAACCAACTGACTGGCCAGCCAAGCCCAGGCTGTCCTGGAACCCAGCCTCAAACCCCTTTCACATAAAAAAATGAGTGAAATGCAGCAGCTATGACCTAAGAGCCATCTGAAGCTTCTCCTCTGAGGCAAGGTCTTTTGCTTGGCCACATATCCTCCTCGATATAGGAAGGAAGTGGACATGAAGAGAAATGGAACATGCTAAACGCAGTCACTGACGCTAGCAACCAAAAGATGCCACTCTGCTGCGGCCTGTGATGTGCTGGGCACTTTTACCACAGAGGGTGCCACTCTGTCTCGTGACTGCTAGCCAGTCATGGTAGTGCACACGTGATCGCAGACTGAGGCAGGAGGGTCACAAGTTCCAGGCCAGCCTGGGCAACTTAGCAATCTAGTGAGACTGTGTCTCAAGATTTAATAAAGGAAGAAAGTAAAGGAGCTGAGGATGCAACTCAGTGTAAAGGCCCTGAGTTCAATCTCCAGGAAAGACAAAAAGAAAAAAAAATACAACCAAAACCCAAATCAGAGCCCTCTCCTTACCACATTTGTTAAGAAACCATGAAGAGCATTCACCCTCTCCCTCCAGGCATTCACACAGGAATTCTCCCTGTCCTTCACTTCCATCAGCAGCTAAAATGTGACGGGTGGCTCTTTGCTGCCGCGTCATCTCCATGACTGCGAAAGGACCTGGCACTGGCACTCTGAAGAGAGGAGTGGGCTCCATACAGACGGGGAAGGGCTAAATGAGCTCACATTTGCTCTGGGGAGCAGAAAGCACTTTCTTCTTTAACACCAAAGCACCTTAGAAGGTTTGGGGCAGAAATTCGGAGGCTGACTTTTCCCTTCACACTTGGTTCTTTGCTAAGGACTTGATGAACACAACACAGGAGCTACACTGTCCTATGCCTGGCCTTGATAAGTGAGAACCATTCAGGTTGCTTTGAGGGAGAAGAAAGCAAAGGCAGAACAAGGGTTAGCAGACGCAATCACTTGGTTTTATTTTCATTTCTTTACCTAAAGCAATAAGCCGCATCCAAAGCACGCTTCTTCCGCCGGTTAGACGGTGGTGACTCAAGTCTGTAGGAGGGCAATAACATTAGCAGGAGATGTGGGGTCTTCCCACTGTTTGTTTTCCTAGTGGACTTTATAGTTTTCTGATCACCACTGGTATATGTGGAGGTGCCATCAATACCTTGAAAAAATGCATTTGGGTAATGAACATTTAGCTTTACCTTCATCACACATCATCAGCTACATATATATATTTTTCTTTTCCATATTGTCCCAAATAGCAGTGATGACCACCATGGCCTGGCTACTGTCATTCCCCCAAGGAGACAGAGAAAACAGGATGACCACAGGTGACAACACCTGTCAATGGGGCTCTTGTAGGAAGGGAGTTCAGTGTCAAAGGCAGGACTGTAGCTTCGGGAGTCCCCCCGAAGAAGTCTGTGACGGCCGGCCCGAGGGCCTGAGTCAGACCTCAGTGTGGTCTGTGTTCAGACCTTTGACAACTGAGCACACAGTCACAGAGCCCACCTTGTCACCCCGGCTCACAATCTTCCCAGGACAACTAGACACTGGAGACTGCTCACAAACATAAACTGAGGCTCAGCTAACTGGCAGCAAACTAGGCTCAAGTGAAGCTGAAGTCACCCTCACCTAGAGCTATTTTGGGAAGCTGTGAATAAAGGCCTTTTCATTTATTTTATGGCATCCTCAACACTCTCCTGATTCCACCTGAGACTTAGAAACTTGAGCTGCCCAAAGCATGCTCGGGAGACTGCCAGGTTAAGCATTTAATCTCCACGCTCACGAGAATCATGGCTGGGTTAGAGACTGAAATAAATCTCTGGCCCTCTGGGAGTATTTTTCCATGAGCAAGGGCCACAGCGACCTTCTAAAAGTGGATGGAGGTCTCGGATGATGTTCGAAGGGGAGAGAAATCAGCTCCCTGACCCGGAAGTGCAGCCAGGTGCTGCCCCAGGCCACGGGCAGACTCTTCCACCTCTCCTCACCTAGCGACTCACAGTCAAGTACACAAAGTGAGTCAATTCATCACATCTCTTCATTCTGTGGGACCTGTGGTGCATCCACTCAGAGTAAGCATGGCGAAAACCAAAACCTTGTTACAAGTACTGTAAAGTTCTGGTGAGGAGGCCACTGGAAATGCTGGGTATAGGTCAGAAGAGGTACAGGGTGTCAATACATGGAAGGTGAGTTATGGAAACCACGGTGGGAGAGGACTCCTTTCTTTGGTGAAAGAGAGTTGTCTGTTCCAAACAGGTTTGGGGAATTATCAATAGATTTCCTTGCATGCACGCTATCTACTGCTGTAACATGAAAGTAGAAAGTTGCCTTGTTTCAATGAAGAGTAAAGGGCTCAGCTGACTATTTTAATTGTCTGAGGGGTTAATGAACCCGTCAGCCACACTGGCCACTCCATCACTGGGCACTGAGCCTTGGAAACCGAGAACGAGTCCTCTCTGTTGTCTCTGGCTTCCCCCAACCGTATCATCACCCAGATGTACGAAACTCCCCATGTCTCGCCAGTCTATCACCTGCAAACTGACTCTGTCTCCCACAAAATCACAACAGCCCTCCTCTGTCTCAGATGACCAGAGATTCACTTACCTGCAAATCTTGCCTCTAGCTCTTCACTTTTATTGGGTATGATGTAATTATTAGATGGCACAAAGGTGCAGCAGGGACAGTGTAAACTTATTTTAAATCCAAGGTTCCTGTCTGGAAAACATGAAGTCAAGGAGGTCATTTGCATATGTGTCTGTGCCCTTAAATCTGTCATCAGTTTACAATAACCGAGGGCCACTGAGCACCAGGGAGAAGCGAGAGGGTTTCCCAACCTTTATGGTGAAGCCACTCATGGACAGCATCCGTCACATCGAAGGACAGCCACTCGCCTTCCGCTCTTGTTTTCACAACTTTGCTGTCGATGTAGCGCTGGTTTGGAGAGGTTAAATCTTTGGACTTGAGAATCTAAAGGGAAAGAGCAAGAGAACAGGCTCCATTGGCATACTGACAACATGACAACCCAAACCATTGACATTATCTCAGGGCACTATCTAAATTTCACTCTGGTCTATCCATGCATTGTCATCTCAACAGCATGGCCACATGCATAAAATGTAACCCTGGGCCATCTGCCATGAAAAACAGAGCTACTGAATCAGCTGCCTGTTATGATGAAGGCGACACAAACCATAAAGCTAAGTGTCTAAAAGAAAGTGACAGTAATTATTTCACTTTGCTGACATAAGCTTTGCAAGATTTCAGCCATAAATTCCATGCCGTTAACGTAATGGTTTTGTTGTTCTGCCTGTCTCTTTTATTTAGGGGGCTGAGGGACAAGGAAGGACAGGAAGAGGGGTCCAGTTTAGAGGGTCCATTCTCACCCTCCAAAGTCCCTGAATTGCAAGTCTTCTAATAACAAGAAAAACGTCCTAAATCCACTGGTATTAAAATGCGCCGTGCCTCAGCTTTGAAAGTAAGGCTCTAGCTGGGATTTTGACTCTCGATGTGAACTGCTCTGATTTATAACGATATTCCACATCCTGCAGTCCAAGAATGAACTTGGGCAGGAGCAATCTGGCTTAGCGTGCGGAAGACAATCTGAAAGTAAATCACCCTGGGCCCTGAGACTCCAGGAAGACATCTTTGTTTCAAATAAGTACAGAGAAACTGCAGCGTCCTTGGGTTTCTACGGGAAATAAACACTTAAGGCAGTTTTTCACAATGCTCTCTTGAAATGATAGTGTTTTGTGAACTAAAGCACCACCCTGCGTCTCCTAGAGCTAGAACAAACCGCAGCCCAGACTCTGTAGCCGGCCTCTGTCCATTCTCAGGTGCTCAAATAGTACTCAGTCTAAGTCTCTGTCCTCTCATGCTACGGATTTAGTCTCCCCAAACCCAGAAGCTTCTTGAGGACAGGAGTCATGTTGTCAGTTTGACATCATTCCAAGCACAGCACTCAGTAGAACCAATGTCCCTTAAAGGACTGTCAGAATATCAAGAACATTTTCTAACTCTCCTTGAAATTTTACAGAGCAAAAATGTGTATTCTTCCCTCTGATGTCAAAATGCACTTTCCTTCTGTGTGTCCACAATTTCCTTCAGGTAATTTGGCAACAAATGCTTTCGGGAATATTTGGCCTTAGAGTAGACTTTTACTTTTCCAGAATAAGAAAGTATAGAAAAGGGAAGAGATTCAGACAGTCGGACTCCTGGGTGCTCTCCTAAATCTTAGACAAACCCTACATTATAGACCTCCCCGAGGGCCAGTGACACCCACTAACTGGAAGGAATCTAGAGATAATGGTGATGTGAGCTCCTCTTTATGAATGACAGGAAACAAGGCAACAATGGACGCTGGGCTCGCCACACATCATTTCACTCAGTTTAATCCTCATGATGTTCCTGTGAGGTAGATGAGGGGAACCGGAACTCAGAGAGGTGGAGTAATTGACCAACACCTCACTGTGAATGAACAAGTGTCGGGGAGGATTCAAGATGGCCCAATCCAGTTTCCCACTGCACTGCTGGATTCTGCAGGCCAAAAAAAGGGAGGGGACCCGGAGCTGGGTCATGATTCACCCTGAGCCCTTTCCAGGTGGCAGAAGACATTCCAGAGCAACAGCAAAGGTCTGCAAATAAGATTGGAATCGATGAGGGTAGAAGACGAAAATATAACCTGGTGGAATATAAATGCAGTTAATGCTGACAGGTAGACATAACTTTCAAAGCACAGCTCTAAGAATTCAAGTTTGTCTCCAAGATAACGCTCAGATGGGCAAATGTGACATCACTTATCCAATTCAGAATAAATGGCATAATTAACCTAATATGGGAGAAGGATGACAAAGACAATGGTTGAGAAGGAGTTTTCTGACATTCTCAACGGCCTCACTGGCTAAAACTTACTAACACACACAGAACTCACTTTTCTGTCTTTATATTCTTCTTTTAGTTGATTTCCTACAGCGACGGATTATCATGCAATCCTTTGCACATTTGCTGAGCTCCCAAGTAACACATTGTATATATTACTCATTATCATGTAACTAACACTTAGATACACTACCTAGAACAAAATATCACCTTCATTTTTGCATTGATTATATATAAATTTAGTATATCACATAATAATTTATGACATGGTTTATAGCATGCAAATTATGTATTAAGTTTATATGTCATATATCAAATGTCTATAACTATATGAAACAGGTACCTACATCTACACGTGTATGATATTTAGCCTCACTGAAGACACAAAAATTTTTTTTAAATAAATAAATTATGGCCATTTGACCAAATGAACAGAAAAAATGCAGACTAGCAAATTTACGGAGATTCCTTATGTCATAGAGAAGGGGTAAATGTAGGTTATCTTGCTTTGAAAACAGAAAGGGTACAAAGAGAGTCTGGAGTGTTCTAGCTTTAATTCTCACTAGACGTCTGAGGGGTAAGGGCTTCCCTAAGCACACAGTGCTGGGAGCTCCAACAATGCGAACCTCAGGCTCTTATGTGGGTAAAAGTTCCTCTCGATTTTCTTTCTTTTCTTTTCTTCTTTTTTTTTTCTAATTTTTACTAGTTCAACATTCAAGAACATGTAAATCACTCAATAAACACAGTAAACTGTGTGATTCTGAAACAGAGAAGTGACCTGTTCCTGCCAATCCACTGTCATGCTTTATGGACGAGGAGTTTTTCCACCTACTTGTTGCAAATGACTCCATTCTTCTCCTCCAGCCCTTAGCAGAACAGGAAACAGCTGCTTTCCATCCCTCAGATTCTTGGAGACTTATTAGGTCCCGCTCAGATGCTCAACTTCTCTCTCTAGGCAAAATCAACCCAGTTCCCGTAGACCACATTTAGAGAGGCCATTTCCAATCCTTTCACCGTCTGGGGGTCTAACGAGGGTGGAACACACCACTTGTCCCTACTTATCTGCCTTTTATCACTACACTACATTAAACTGGGAGTGAAGAAGCCGTGGGAATCAACTTCTAGCCCTGCTCGCTTGTCCTTTCTTAAATTCAGGATTTATACAACAAATGACTGGGTCAGTCACCGTCTCCTTCTGTTTTACCCTGTGCACTCTGCCCTGTTTGGTCTCCAAACAACAGGATGTGAATGCTAACAGTCCTGATATGCGGTGGTCTTTTGCTAGACCCTGTCGCTTGTTTCTGCATTTCTTTACACATCTTCTCAGGATAAGAGCAGTCTGTTGAACTGTAGGCGCTCTCTCCACTGGCCTATCCCCTTGGCTGGGGCTCCCCAGTCCCACTAACCTGCATTCTCCCTGCTCTTTCTGTGATATGTACTGGCCAGTGGCCACGGTGCCCTGGGGCTCATGGCTGGGATGCTGCTCTTCAGGTCCTCCCAGGGGATTTGTGCGCTTAGCCAATATCAACTGTATGTTTCTAAACTTGGATTTATTTTTGCAATTATGGGAGTTAATTAAATGATTCAAACCAATCATACCATACAGGACCAACAGAAAAGAGCTGCAGCTTCTGTGAAAACTATTTGATTGTCTTGGAAAGTCAAAAGACAAGCTCCTATAAGAAAAAAGTTTTCTGGAAAACAGTCTGACCATTCCTCAAAAGAGTGAACACAGAGTTACCACGTGATCTAGCAATTCCACTCCTGGGCATAACCCCCGAGAGTGAAAGCAGAAACTCAGGTATGTATGCCTGCACCAATATTCTCAGCAGCATTCTGCACGACAGTCAAAAGGTGAGGGGAAAACCCAAATGACAGGTGAACGGACAAACTGAAGGTAGTATTACACACACGAAAACAGAGCCATGAAAGGGAAGGGGGTACGGACACAGGCCTCGGCACGGAGGGAGTCAAGTCACCTGGGCCAGGTGTCCTAAAGGACAGGTACGGCGTGGTTTCGCTCACATGAGAACCCAGGACAGGCAGAACCCGCAGAGACAAAGAGCAGGAGACAGGGCGCAGGGGCTGGGAGGACAGGGCAGTGAGCCACTGGTGCCTAACAGTGCAGAATTCCGAGTTGGGATGGAAACTTCTGGAAACGGACAATGATGATAGCCCCACAGCACCGTGAATACACTTACTGTCACGAAGCTGCACAAAGAATGGCCAAAAAGTGACTTCTGTGATTTATATATATGTATATGAATGTGTACATATATACATCCACAAAATTTTATTTAAAATTTTAGGTGTGAAAGGGACAGCCATAAAATAAATAATGGAATGAAATAATCAATTACTGCTCAGCATTGTCTTTTAACTTCCTTTTCTACTTCACAGAAAGTAAAAAGTAGAAACTGTAGATGTAAACTATGGAGGTGGTCCAGGTTTTTTTTTAAAAAAAGTCATAGATTGGCAACTGGCACAGCTATGTCAAAAAAATTTCTTTGCCTTTCAGAAAAACTCTGCCTCAGCATTTGTGTGTGGGGGGGGGTGGGTGTGTACAGGAGTACAGACATTCACATATATGCTAAGTTTAAAAAGGTAAAGATCGCATCTCTGTCTCTCTCACTCTCTTATGTCTTTCTAATCCTCCACTTTAAATTCTTTCTTTGCTTTAAATAGCTGACCAACGACAGTTCCTGGTGGAATTAGAAAGGAGGGTTCTAAGGTACTGAGAAGGAGACTTACCGCTCTGGCGTGGCTGCCACCACAGAGATGTTGCACACTGACTTCTCCACATGACCGTACACACACAGCACATACCCCACACGCACAATGCCCAGGCAGCACCCCTGGCAAGCCTCTAAGCGCTTCACGGTCCCAAAGCCCCTGCATAAAAGGATGCATTCATTTCTTGGGCAATGGAAAGCAGCCAGCCAGGGAGTGGATAGAAATGAAAGTCACTCATGTTACCCAATAGTTTGGAGGTTAAAAAAAAAAAAGAATTAAAAGGCTAGCTGCGAAATTATAGCCAGAAAAAAACCTTAGACTTAAAGGAGCAATGCTATAAATCAACTTCGGATTTGGCT